AGACATAGGTTTCAAAAAACTATACGTGGCGAGGATGTGTCAAAAAACTATACGTGGCGAGGCTGTGCCTCCTACGTACACGTGTTGTAGGATTGCTCGTAGCGACGCTAGACCAGGAGCCTCATGATTTTTGATCGAGCTCCGGCGAGGGAGTTCATTTAATTGCGGAGGAAAATGATCGGTGCGAGCTCAGTTATTTAAATCGCTGTGTACGACCAAGAGAAAAGGAAAGTTCTCGTCACTCGAAGCTACCCGCGCTACGTGGGGTGTAACAGAGGTGCTGCTCGAATCTAGGTAGGTATAATATAACTTCGTTAATCTCCGCTATCATGCGCCAAAGAAATTCTGACAGTACGAACCTAGAGCCTTAATATAACCAGCCGAACGCCTATCATGGCCGACCCTCTTTCTACTATCAGTGGCGTTGCAGGGCTATTGAGTCTGGCGACGGCATTGGCGCAGAAAGGACTTAGACATACAAGCAATGTTCGTAACTGCCCCAACGAGGCACAGCAGCTAGTATCGGAGGTATCTGTTCTCACTGTCGTTCTGGGCCAATTGTCCGCACTTGCAACTTGTAACAGGACCACCCCAAGAGACGGAGACGTTGATCGGTTATGCCAAGTCATGACTCCTGCGGCCATTAAGCAAAGTGGGCATTGTTGAAGGAGACTGGGGAAATATTGGAGAAATATCGAGAGGTTGCTGTAGAATCGGGCAGCCGACTCAAGAAGACATGCCAAAAAGTTGTCTGGCCATTCCAGGGGAAGGAGGTTGAGGGAGCTCTAGTGAAACTACGTGAGCTGCGGGATAACTTCACTATTGCCGTAACCGTCGATTCTAGGTGGCTCCTACTCTTTTCTCGATTGATGGATCTCCGCTGACCGGATGCGTTCCTGCAGCCATACTATGTCCGAGATGAGCGATAGAATGAAAAATATTACAAACGAGCAGCAAAGTGAGCTATATTTGCGTTTAGCACCAGAGTGTGAAGTGTATGGCTAATTTTTCCGTTTTAGATGTGAAAAAAATTATGGAAAGTAAGTGTTCGACATTTTATATCCGGGTCTACCTATGTAGTGTATGGGTAATAATAATGGTAAGAAGCTAACAAACTGGCGTAGATGAAAGACTTCAGGCAACAATACAATGGTTGTCGCCTTTGGAACCACAGAAAAGACATGAGGATGTGCGGAAGGTTCGCGTGAAAGGCACCGGAAACTGGTTCCTCCAAGCAGAAAAATTCCAGACTTGGCTATCAGTCGATGACGCTGGATGTGATTCGACTGCGGCTCGACCCAGGGTAACCAGATACTGTGCTGTTACGCAATGCCAGGCGCCGGGAAAACCGTACTCAAGTAAGCTAATCATGAATTCTGGTGACTTTGGGGCGTTCGTGCTCTCGCACTGGCGAAGGATAGCTATTGGTCTCTGTAAAGATGCTGATTGAGACAATAATCAAACTTAGCTCACTTGTTATTGATCATCTCTCCAATCCTGGGTTGCAAGCTGCCTCGATGCCAAAAAGTGTTCTAGACGAGCGCAATATTACAATATTGCGACTACCGTGACCAGAAGGACCAAACCGAAACGAATCTCTTGGGTAGCCTCCTTTCTCAGTTTCTTGCATGCCAATCGCTGCCAAAATCTACATTCGATAAGATTCTTGACATTTGCGAGGCAATGCAGAGGAAACGTGAGCCATTAAACCTTGAGAAGGCTATTGAGGTGATATTGCTAGTCGTACAGTCATCATGGGTCTTCATTTGTATTGATGCTGTAGATGAGTTATCGCAAGCGACACAATTGTCTTTCTTGAAGTCGCTTGACAAAGTTATTCATGGGACCGACCGCCCGACCGCCCGACTGGCCAACATGCTCCGCGGTTATTTCTCACAGGCAGATCACATGTGCAAGCCAATGTCCACAAATACCTGAGGGTAGGAGCAGAAGCCTCAATAACAGTTACAGCCAATGAAGTGAACATCAGGAGATTCGTGGAGCTCCAAATCGCGGAATCTGATCATGAGGCAATGGATGATAAGCTCAGAGAGGAGATCATAGAAACCATTGTTGCAAAGTCAGGCGGAATGTATGTATACAGTTCGGATATGTCCATCTGGAACGATTGCAATGCCTTTGGGAGAGCGAGCTAGGGCTGATTATCACAGGTTTTTACTTCCCCAATTGCATATAAAGGCGGTCTTAGAGGAGCCTACTATATCCAAACGGCGAAAGGCCCTCCACGCTTTACCAGCGGGATTATATGGCGCTTATAAAGTGACACTTGCTAGAATCGAAGAACACCCGAAGAGTATAAGGGACTTAGCAATGTCTCTCTTAACGTGGACCTTTCTGGCAACGCGACTTATGACAGTTACAGAAATACAGCATGCTCTAGCTGTAAAACTGGGCGACGAAGAGTTCGATATGGACGATGTTCCTTCAGAAAGAGCAATCTTGAGCAGCTGCATTGGCTTAGTGATTATCGATCGAGAAACAACAACCGTCCGTTTGGTGCACTATTCTCTGCAGGAGTTCTTCCAGAAGCATGAGGAGGAGTTTTTCCCGACAGGCCATAACAGCATTGCGAGGATATGTTTGACATATATCAATTTTGAAGAATTCACTGGGCCATATGAGGAAATTGTCGGGCAGAAATCGAGCGAACTGGATGCTATGATGAGAAGGTATCCTCTCGTAAGGTATGCTGCGCTTCAGTGGGCCTCACATGCTTCGAAACAATTGGACTCTGTCGTTTCCGAGCTGCTATTCAAGATGGTTTTGCGTAATATCAGTGGTACACCAATGACTATGCTCATGTGTATCATACACCAGCCAATCCTACACGTACAAAAGTGTCACTGGAATGGGATACTGCGTTTTTCTAGCCTACATGCACTAGCTTATCTTGGGAATAAGTGCATGATGGAGTACATCTTGGAGGGGCTGACTGCTCATAGGCTTGTTGAAACCGTTGTGGACGCAGAGGATGGATTTGGATGGACGCCCTTAGCGTATGCTGCAGCAGCCGGTAGGGGTGATATTGTGGAGTTGTTATTACTTATTAGGTCGCTCAGATGTCAACGCAAACCCTGGTATCGGGTGGACTCCACTATTAGTGGCAGCGAGATTTGGACAAGTGAGCACCGTACGTATGCTGTTGGAGCATAACCGTGTGGATGTGAATGCGGGGATGTTTACAGCAATGGACGCCCTACGAATTGTCGCACAGAATATATTTTATGAAATGTCTTTTGTTATATCGAGTGAAGAAACGGTTACTGGACTCACAGCCCTAGTGTTTGCCATACAGATAAGGCATGCAGAAATGGTAGATTTGCTGTTGAGTCATAGTGGCGTGGATGTCAACGTGAGGATCGATTCCAATGCAACAGTCTTCATGTTTGCTGTCCTCGTTGCAATTGGCAAGATGAGAGGGGAAACTACGGAGGCGTCTTTGGATATTGTACGGGCGCTGCTGAATCATGGTGTGGATGTTAATACGAGGGACAATGAAGGAAATACAGCTCTAATGTTCGCAGTGGGGTCGAGATCGAGACGCATATTGGTGGTGCTACAGTTACTCTTGAATCATAGCAATGTGGATGTCAACGCGAGGTCCGAGAACGGCGACACAGCCTTAATTTGTGGTGGGAGGTCAGGGAACGTGGAGGCTGTACAGATGCTGTTGAGTCACTGCGGTATTGAGGTTAATACGAGAGGAGAGGAAGGGAGGACAGGCTTAAGCTGGGCTGCATTTCAGGGCCACGTGGAGGTTCTCAAGCTCTTTCTAGATTATGAAGGCGTGGAGCTCGATGCGAAAGATCATGGGGGAAATACAGCACTTGAGCTCGCAACAATGACATTATCAGAAGCAGAACGACACGGCTTAGTGAAAAGAACCAACCTGAAACGTTGGAACCCCATGCTGCCCGCGAGAAACAGAGAAGAAAGATGTGGAGAAATTGTAAAGCTGCTAACCGATCGCGGAGCGAAGCGAGGCAGCGAACTTGAGGATGCAAGTTCCTGCCTTCGAGGTGAGATATCACCTCTACCTAGTGTCTCCGAAACTCCCCAAAACTCCTGACAAATTAGACAAAGACAGTCTCGAAGAACCTGACCAAGCCAGTCCCAAAGAATCTGACCAGAACAGCCCCGAAGAACCAGACAAAGGAGTCTCAATTTCTCTGACCCATTCCGGTGAAGTAACAGAATCCGCAAAGTGGAGCCGGGGGTGTATATATTTTCGTACCAGATGGCTGCTATTCTCGAGCTCGTGTGTCCTTTTCATCTTCTTTCTTTTTTTTCTTTTATAATTACCTTTCTTTTTTTTTCTTTTCTTTTTTCTTTTTTCTTTAGTTATTTATTAAGGTATCGGCTTTGAGTATTTTGCGTTGAGATTTTTTTTACCAACCTACCTTTTTTTTTTTGTTTTGTTTTGTTTTGTCCTTGTTGATGCTTTGTTTGATCCATGAAGATTGCGAGCAGGTACTTCTTTCTTCTAAGCTCAAATATATTTCATACTCCGAAACCCTGCAGTGAATACTCTTGTCAGTAAGCGCGTATGTTATCAAGCTGCTAAGTAGATGAGCAAGGTTAGTGCACATAACTTATTTACCATCGACTTCCCGTTACCCTGAAAAGCCGAATTGGCCTCACCCATCAATCGCCCTTTACCCAGAAACCTCCCGGTATACTCCACTCCTTAATCCGTGTATCTTCATGATCCACACAATTTCCCTCCGTCCCCCACCTGCAGTAACGATGTACTGTTGGGACGTGCGGTAGTTGCTGGAGATGGCTGGATTAATGTCGTGTGACTAGTGGTTTGGAAAAGTTTAGTCACTTGGTGTTGAATATAATCTTTAACAGCACAACGCTAGAGCATGAGACTACAAACTGCATTTGACACTGACTCCCAAAGAGGGAGACGTTCCTGATCTTAGTTTCGGAAATGAAATGCAATAAATAGGAAGGGAAGAAAAATAAAAAAGAAACGTCAAGGACAGGATTCGAACCTGCGCGCCCAGAAGGCATCCGCTGACTTTACCGGGGTGTACCGAAGTAATAGCAGGCGAACGTGTTAACCACTCCACCACCTTGACTTTGATTTATTGAAAGGGTTTTAATTTATATATGTTTATCATAACCAATAATTGGAAAAAATAAGAAATGTATTCCTAATTATAGTTACCTGATAGCTCAAGGGATTTTTGCTGTCTTATCCGGAATATTCTCGCGTAAAGTGAGGGCTATACTTTTTTAATCTCAAAACAGGGGTATTCTACACCTCTTGCCAATACGCAAGTTAATTTCACTGTATTCGGGTTGAGGATATATGTAGTCAAATTTTGTGACTTCATGTGGTTACGACGATATGTAGGCGAGGGAGGGCAGTGAGCGTATGCGCCTCGCATCTCGGCTTTTGTGTAATTATATACAAGGCATTTCGTAGACTTCACTCCACCGGATTTATTTGCATATATCTATGTACGTACTTTTGCACAAAGAAGTATGTATACGTACAAGTTGTGATTATTACAGCCTGTTTTGCAGTAGTTGTACCAACCAGACTATATCCTCGGAGTGGTTTGTACTCAGCCAAAAGCTAGAGTCTCGGCAAGTTCTGTAATTCCTTTGTCCTTTTCTTTCATGTATATCAGTTTAGCATCGATGCCATTTATGTGGCTGTGATTAGTGTAGCTCTGGCACATTGTTATCATTGTATAAAAATTATATTCACACAAGGCTTCACCCAACCACTACGCGGCGTTGTGCAACCAGACTAAGCTAAGCTTACCAAGGATCAAAGAGATCACTTTTACACCAAATTTCGGTAAAGGTGATTGACAAAAATCACCGCTCTGCTAGAATTACCTGGTGTCCTCTGGTCTTTTAGAAGTTATCCAAAACTCCATCTTACAAATTACGACACACCTAGCTTGAGGGGTGTAGTGCACTGAAGGTGTAAAACTCACAACAGGTCTAAATACATCATGTTACCATACAGATTTGTATGAGAAACTACTTCACCTGTATTTCGAGCCACATATGGGTTGTAAATCTAGATATACTTACCTAATGTCCTAGCATATTAGGAGTAAAAACAATTCCAGATGTATAACATTTACCTTGCCAAATGTGACTGTAGGGCGACCCCATAAGATAGTGCCTGCCAGACTACGTACAATGGCTTATAGTGTAGAATAATTTGGTGGCATCTATAGTCTCTTGAGCCCGGGTTTAGATAACCAGACTAGGTATAGATGTACTTTGATAAGTCAACATACTTAGTAGGTAAGTATCCTGACTGTTCAAGTTTGATATGAGTATTTTTTAACTCATGGCCAATCTTGCACTTTCCAACTAGACTTCTATTAGACTTCATTTGCTCAACCAGGAACGCAAATCATACCAGAAATGGTGAAAAATGCACTATTTACTATTCCAAGAGAAATCGAAGCTTAAGGACTTTAACTTAAGAAGTTGGGATGTCCTGTAAGAGATGAAAATTGAAATATATATATATATATATTTAACTTTTTATTTAAATTCTTGCTAAGTGAGCACTGCAGTCTGTATCATGCGAGAAATCCAAAGAAAGTGATGGTACCTAGTCTCCTCATACAAATTTGTATGTAAAAGGTACAAAGCAACGATAATGCAACGATAACTCCTAATTTGAGGAGCTCTACCGCCTGAACTATCCATTTTCTGTACTTGTAGTAATAGTATGTGACTCTTTCTATGAAATTATACAGCTGCGTTAGAAGTGATTGCGTGGTTGAGTTTTGACGCATGTATGAGTTTTGGTGTAAAATGGGATGTGTGCAAACAAGGATGGCCTAGAACTATATGACGAAGCACCTAGGTGGAGCCGGACAGATTATTCACCGTCTGGGCCGCTCCCTGCCTCGTATCAGATAATTTTTATTTACTTTTTTATGATGTTGATATTCTTTTTTTTTTTTTTGGTAAATCAGTACTTGCATTGAAGCGTCTCGCTTATGGCAAGGCAGCGCATCCCCCCAGGCTAGGGATTATCCAACCACCGGGCCGCTCCCTGCCCCTGTATCTACGTACATGACCAGATACCCCCCAAAAAGGAATGCGCAAAGAAAACACCATCGCACCGCCCCTGTCAGCTTCTCAAAGAAATCACCACCGCACTGCCTCCGCCAGACTCCGGATCCTCCCATACCTGCTCCCAGCTCCGCCCCTTCCCCTCCGCCACACCGGTACACCCCAGGCATTCTGCGCCACTCCCTCCTCACATAGTACGCACCTAGGGTCCTCCGCTCTACCTACTCTATGTAGACACCAGCGCTGCGGTGACCATGTATGTCAGCCCTCGTAGCGCCTCCCGGTTCCACTTTGCCTGCTTAGAGGGTCGCCCCATGGATGTTGATATTCTTAGCTTGGTCTCCGCCATCACTTATTATAGGATTAATAGGGGTATTCAATCCATTCTTTGAACGGTTTTGTTTTAATCGGGGTTCTTGCGCGGTTTTGACCGTTCTGGGTTTGAGTCCCTCATTTTGCAACCGCGCAAATGGCAGTTTAAACGCCCGATTAAAATGACCGATTTGGGCGGTGTTTTTGGGGTCAAGGTGCCAATCGTCTAGGCTGAATTGGGCTAGGTTCTAAATTAACCTCTCTTCGTGACTTATGTGACCAATGAGGCTGAGCTCAGAGTAGATGACACTTAGCCATATTTGGCTAGTTAGGTACTCTCTAAACAGATTGGGCTAGCTCTGCATTTTAAGTTCATTCAAACGAAAGCTCTTGAACGGCCGTTTAAAACCGCTTTAAGTGGGACCAATGTCGCTTAAAATTTAGTACGCGCAAACCGCGCAACCCACTTGAACGGTTGGAGGAAAAAACCGTTCAAGGAACGGTTTGAACGGCGTTCAAAAAAGGATTGAATACCCCATTATATATATAATATTAAACGGGGGGAGCAACTATCCAAACTTGACTTGCTGCATTGGGTTTTGCGTACACTATGGTTACATACATGACTCTCAGAATGTGAGCCTGAAACAAGGACTGACAACAAAAGCAAAATTCTATATATACACACTACCCTCCGCCACCTTCTTGCACCACTCCGGGTCTTCTCATATCTGATCCATTTGTCTCTCCCACAACCCCTGACACCTCAACAGGTGGATAGCGTTCTGGGCCACCCCGTTGCCACGCAAATTGCATCTGGGGTCCTTATCGTATGCTGCCACCATCTCTGTGGGCCTCGGTCCATTACCATGTATGTTAGGCCCTTCAGAGCCCAGCGACCCCAGTTGCCTGCCTTGATGCCAGCAGGTGCTGCAACGTCAGGCCTAAGCATCCTCCTGCATACCATGCAGTTTCCTTTGCCTTTTTGTCCGGCTCTCATCCCGAGCAGCTCCATTGTGACCCTCACCTACATCACTGTACGTTGGCCTTCTGCAATCAGTCTTTACCATCGCCTCAATTTCAGAAGCGCGGTTGCTCAAATACTAGGCGCCCTATGTTTCCTAAGTATCCATAGCGACCACTGAGCGACCTAGTTGCTATGCCATCGCTACTCCTAAGTTAGTAGCTATGCATCCATCACCGCTGCGAGCGCCCCTCAAATTGCTTCTGTTCTACCAGACTTCTTTGTTTAACCAGACTTTGTGTGTTCAGACTTCATTGTCTGTTTGACCTTAGTCTATTCTGGTTGGCACAACGACCTCTGAAGATTGTGCCAACCAGACTAACCTTAGTCTAGCCATAGCTAGTTGATGTTAAGTATTTGGTCTGGCTCTGGTTAGTGCGGTTGCACGGCACACCTAACACACCTAAATAAATCGCTCTGGGCCCGAGCACAGTTACACGGCTCTGGTATGCCATTCCATGGTTGGCACAACACCCTCCGTAGGGTGTTGTACGGAGGGTGTTGTGCCAACCAGACTAATTCATCACCCCCAGATAAACAGTACTACCGCTAGTGTCGTAGCCTCATGCCACAGGCTTAACCTGAGGGGATGCGCTGCCTCGTCATAAGCGAGAAGCTTCAATACGAGTACTGATTTACCAAAAAAAAAAAGTAGCTTAGTCACTATTTAAAGTGCCATCCAAAAACTGAAGTGCCAGGGTGGATTGTTAGATTAAGTGACACACTAAAAGGCACATTTGGAGGAAATTGGCAGGTTATTCGTTAGTACTCTTCATATAGCCTGAAGCATGAGACAACTAATAATATGGCGGACGGGGTTTCCGATCAAACGGGTTTTGACAGAATTTCAAGCATAACTCAGCTATTTCAGTCAATTATGCTCAAACTTTGGGGTTATATTTTACAAAATAGTGCTTTCGCAGGCCAAGCAGGCAAGGGCCCATGCATCCTACTGCTGAACCTACCTTGTGTATAATGCATAGCTGGACATAGCACCTTTTTGAGGGATATATTTGCAAATACGAAGGTTAGGGGGGCTGTTAGTGGTTATAATTATTACTTTTGCTTAGTATTTGAAGCCTGAAGTGCTTGTATCTAGAATATATTTGTTTAGGGGAACTACTTTCTGAAGTAAATTTGGGGAGGGATAGCGAAAGTAGTTCTTAGAATATCTCTACCAGACCATCTTGAACATAGATATCTCATGAAATACCTTTCATACCCTGCTTCCACCCAACTTTACCTAGAGGCAGTTGTACCCCCACATAAACATATTTTGGATTCAATCAGTTTAGACTTTGGATAGTAGGTGAAAGCAATCATTATGGTCACACACGGGCCCCCTAAGCCTCATATTTGAATATATATCCCCCCAAAATGTCTATTACTTAGGAAAAAGCCTAAGACCTGACATAATTGCAGCAAGAGAGGTCTTGACCTAGCACTTAAGGGCGTAAATGAATGCAATTGATAGGAGAAAGGTATTGAGTCATTGGGCGCTCCATTGGGGCCTTCTTCGGTAGAGATATTCTAAGAATTACTTTCGCTAGCCCCCTCCCAAATATATTCTAATTACAGAGACTTCAGGCTTCAAATATTAAGTGAAAGTAATAATTATAACCAGTAACAGCCCCACTAACCTTCGTATTTATAACTCCCAAACCTCCTGAATCCAGCCATATATGT